AGATCCCAAGAAGTTGCAGTGTCTGACAGGTTTGTAGATGAATGGTTCAGAGAACCGACATATTGATAAATTAGACACAAGTGCAACTCTTGGGTATCTTTATTGAGGAAACGTTTCGCCACACAGTGGCTTCATCAGTCCATACATAGGAGAAACTTGAAGTTTCTCCTATGTATGGACTGATGAAGCCACTGTGTGGCGAAACGTTTCCTCAATAAAGATACCCAAGAGTTGCACATGTGTCTAATTTATCAACATGTCGGTTCTCTGAACCATTCATCTACATCCTGGAGTGCTCTAATGTCTTCATTAGAATGAATTGGACGGCCTATTTTTGTTCATCAGCAAATTTGCTTATGTCACTATTTATTCCCTCATCTGTGTCATTTATGTTGATTGTAAACAACAAGGGGCCCACCACTGACCCCCGTGGAACACCGCTTGTTATGTGCCCCCATTCTGATTTCTCCCGGTGGCCTGGTGGCTAAAGCTCCCGCTTCACACATGGAGGGCCTGGGTTCAATTCCCGGTGGGTGGAAACATTTCAACACGTTTCCTTACACCTGTTGTCCTGTTCATCTAGCAGCAAATAGGTACCTGGGTGTTAGTCGACTGGTGTGGGTCGCATCCTCGGGGACAAGATTAAGGACCCCAATGGAAATAAGTTAGACAGTCCTCGATGACGCACTGACAAATGTAGTCCTAGTATTTAGGAAACATATATGAGGTATAGGAATGTTAGTAAATCTTCTTCATTCTTCAGCCTTAGAGCATCCAGGAAGTGAAACGACTTAGATAGCAAAGTGGTAGAGGCAGAATCCTTACATAACTTTAAGAATAAGTATGATAGCCTATGCAGCAAGGAAAGGGTGAATCCAGCAGAGAGGCAGGGGTCAAGAGGTGAGAGTTGATAACTGCAAGCACAATTAGGCGAGTATATACGTACGTACACACATGCATGCTCGTTTGCTTGCTCACTTGCTCACTCCATTCATTCATTCATACTCATACTCACTTATCCTCTCAAACAATTTTGTTGTTGCATTCAATTATTCATTATCTATATCAGTATCGCTCGGAATATTCATAATTTGCACAGAACTACTTAATGCTTCAAATGATGCAGTGGAAGTAAAGATCGAGAACCAAAACCTAGTCATTGTGGTAGTCTACAAGCCTCCAGATGCAATGTCCCAGCAATTCCAGGAACAGCTGTCAGAAATTGACCACTGTCTGGAAAATCTGCCAGCTCCTGCCCCCAACATCTTGGTCCTGGGGGGATTTCAACTTGAGGCACTTAAAATGGAGGAATATAGCAAATAATGTTGTTGCAGTGATAACACCAGGAGGCAGCTCTGACGAGAACTCACACACACACGAGCTTTTAAATCTCTGCACAAAATTCAACTTAAACCAGCAAATAATAGAGCCTACTAGACTGGAGAATACACTAGACCTCATCTTCACTAACAATGATGATCTGATACGAAATGTCACCATATCAAAAACAATATATTCAGATCACAACATAATCAAGGTTCAGACATGTATGCGCGGAGCCCCAGACCGACAAAATGAGATTAATCATGAGGGAGCCTTCACCAAATTCAACTTCAATAACAAGAACATAAAGTGGGACCAAGTAAATCAAGTTCTAAACGATGTAAACTGGGAAGATAGACTAAGCAACACAGACCCCAACTTATGCCTAGAACAGATTAACTCGGTGGCACTCGATGTATGCTCAAGGCTTATTCCTTTAAGAAAAAGGAGGAGTAGATGTAAAATAGAAAGAGACAGGCACTCCCTTTACAGGCAGTGGAAAAGAATAACAGAGTGGCTAAAAGAGGCCAATATATCTGAAATGCGTAGGGAGTCACTGGTCAGAGAAATAGCAAACATCGAACTTAAGCTAAAGGAATCTTATAGGAGTCAGGAATCACAGGAAGAACTAAAAGCCATAAATGAAATCAAAAGAAACCCAAACTATTTCTTTTCTTACGCCAAATCAAAGTCGAGAACAACATCCAGTATTGGGCCCCTACTTAAACAAGATGGGTCCTACACAGATGACAGCAAGGAAATGAGTGAGCTACTCAAGTCCTAATATGACTCAGTTTTTAGCAAGCCGCTAACCAGACCAAGAGTCGAAGATCAAAATGAATTTTTTATGAGAGAGCCACAGAATTTGGTTAACACAAGCCTATCTGATATTATCCTGATGCCAAATGACTTTGAAAAGGCGATAAATGACATGCCCATGCACTCTGCCCCAGGGCCAGACTCGTGGAACTCCGTGTTCATCAAGAACTGCAAGAAGCCCCTATCACGAGCCTTTATCATCCTATGGAGAGGGAACATGAACACGAGGGTCATCCCACAGTTACTAAAAACAACAGACATAGCCCCACTCCACAAAGGGGGCAGTAAAGCAATAGCAAAGAACTACAGACCAATAGCGCTAACATCCCATATCATAAAAATCTTTGAAAGGGTCCTAAGAAGCAAGATTGCCACCCATCTAGATACCCATCAATTACACAACCCAGGGCAACATGGGTTTAGAGCAGGTCACTCCTGTCTGTCTCAGCTACTGGATCACTACAAGGTCCTAGATGCACTAGAAGACAAAAAGAATGCAGATGTAATATATACAGACTTTGCAAAAGCCTTCGACAAGTATGACCATGGCATTATAGCGCACAAAATGCGTGCTAAAGGAATAACAGGAAAAGTTGGTAGATGTATCTATAATTTCCTCACAAACAGAACACAAAGAGTAGTAGTCAACAGAGTAAAGTCTGAGGCAGCTACGGTGAAAAGCTCTGTTCCACAAGGCACGGTACTCGCTCCCATCTTGTTTCTCATCCTCATATCTGACATAGACAAGGATGTCAGCCACAGCACCATGTCTTCCTTTGCAGATGACATCCGAATCTGCATGACAGTGTCTTCCATTGCAGTGGGCTGCAGAAAACAATATGAAGTTCAACGATGAGAAATTTCAATTACTCCAATATGGTAAACATGAGGAAATTAAAACTTCATCAGAGTACAAAACAAATTCCTTCCACAAAATAGAGCAAAAAACCAACGTCAAAGACCTGGGAGTGATCATGTCAGAGGATCTCACCTTCAAGGACCATAACATTGTATCAATCGCATCTGCTAGAAAAATGACAGGATGGATAATGAGAACCTTCAAAACTAGGGATGTCAAGCCCATGATGACACTCTTCAGGTTGCTTGTTCTATCTAGGCTGGAATATTGCTGCACACTAACAGCACCTTTCAAGGCAGGTAAAATTGCTGACCTAGAAAATGTACAGAGAACCTTCACGGGGCGCACAACGGAGATAAGGTGCCTCAGTTACTGGGAGCGCTTGAAGTTCCTGAACCTGTACTCCCTGGAATGCAGGCAGGAGAGATACATGATTATATACACCTGGAAAATCCTAGAGGGACTAGTACCGAACTTGCACACAAAAATCACTCACAACGAAAGCAAAAGACTCGGCAGACGATGCAACATCCCCCCAATGAAACGCAGGAGTGTCACTAGCACGTTAAGAGACAATACAATGAGTATCAGGGGCCCGAGACTGTTCAACTGCCTCCCAGCATACATAAGGGGGATTACCAATAGACCCCTGGCTGTCTTCAAGCAGGCACTGGACAAGCACCTAAAGTCGGTACCTGACCAGCCAGGCTGTGGCTCGTACGTTGGATTGCATGCAGCCAGCAGTAACAGCCTGGTTGATCAGGCTCTGATCCACCAGGAGGCCTGATCACAGACCAGGCCGCAGGGGCGTTGACCCCCGGAACTCTCTCCAGGTAAACTCGAGAACCCCTTTCATTTATAATAGGGATATCTGGTTCAATGACAAGTTTTATGAAGCTTGGTTGGAAAGCATAATGCTGACATGTATGTGGGAAAAGATGCAAGTATGCAGACAGAGCAGTTATATGGACAGGGTTTCATGACTTAATGAAGCTCTGATTAGAGTAAACATTGGTATAAACCTTGGTAATAAATACTGACAAGTTGGTTTAGAAAAACACGGCAAACACTATAATAATAATAATAATAATAATAATAATAATAATAATAATAATAATAATTATTTACTCTAAGTACATGTACATGGTATACAGGCCTAGCTGACATCAGTGACATACTGTACTACTATATGGAAAGCTGCTTGTTATGCTGAGCATTTCAAGCAAATTAGGTGAGTTTTGTCCCAAGATGTGACCCACACCAGTCGACTAACACCCACGTACCCATTTTGAACTGATGAGTGAACAGGGACAGCAGGTGTCTTATGGAAATACATCCCTAATGTTTTACAGCCATACTGGAGGAGATTCGAACCCCAGACCTCAGTATGTGAGCTGAATGCACTAGCGATCGAGCCATGGGACATATATATTAGAGAATATTTTGGTCCTGAGACCTTGATTACTTCTAACATTCAGAGGTTGAAAGACAGTATATATAGGCAGAGAATGAGGTGTGAGTGACGCATGGTGACCTGAAGAATGCCAATTGGGATGAGGACGGGTAGACAGTGAGATTATCCAGCAACACGGGAGTCACATGATCTCATTGTCTACCCGTCCTCATCCCAGCTGGCATTCTTCATGTCACCATGCATCACTCACACCTCTCTCTGCCTATACATACTGTCTTTCAACCTCTGTACGTTAGAAATGTTTTTTCCCAGTTAAATTATCACATTAAATTATCACTATAGTGTCATATAGTATCACTGTATGACACTATAGTGTCATATAGTGATACTATGTGACACTATATAGTGATACTATATGGGGAAGGAATGGGGCCCTGTTCAAGGTTAGTAAAAAAAAAAAACTTTTCCTCTGAGAGAAGCTTTTCTATATTAGCCATTCTCTTTCTTTATTTAAAAACTATTGTATATTTCAGTCAAGCTATAATTAATAATTTTTCAAATACAGTAAAAAATTTTTCCTTAAAGATGGATGCAGCTGTGGAAAAAAAGAAGCAAAATGTTGAAACTATCCATAATGAATCATCTCAACCCAAGAGTAGTACAACAGAAAGTATGGAAAGTGAGTGTGATGTCAATGAGCTGACTAAACCGCAGAATTCTGAGGCAGCGCAACAATTGAAGAAGGGCAAGAAAGGTTTCAAATTTGGGCGGCTAAAAGAAGACCCATTATCTTTATCAAATGGCTCTTCAGGACTGAAAGACATGTCTGTCATTATTGGTAACCCAGCATATCAGGATGACTCAAAACACACACAAGATGAAGGTGGGAACAGAGAAAATCACAGACAACCCATAAATATTGAGTCTTCATTAAAAGGGGATACATTTATTATAGAAAATACTACAGTTAATGGCATGTACCCAGAACAAGATGGTGCAGGACATTCATTAGAGGATAATTCATCTATTAGCAGAAACCAGGAAGCTCCAGATGACTTGTCAGTTAATGGGCATCCTCTCGAATCTGATGACAGGTAAGGTTTATTGCTGTAAGTCTTCAAGCAAGTACATACTGTACTTGCTTGAAGAATAAAAGTCACAATACCATGGCTGACACAATTCACAATTAGCCAACAAATTATAGAAGGTTTAGATGACCTTTTGGAATGTCCTGGATTATTATCAAGTCTTGCATCTTTTAATGTCTTGATCTGGTATACTATTTTGTAAGGAAGCACCAAACCAGCAAGGGCTATACAGTGCCAGGGAAAGTGGGAGGCAATCAGGTTCGAGCCAGGAAAAGGGGAAATTAATTCCTTTCATTAAGAGCCTTTCACCAGTGTCAGGGACAATCACTTGAGGGGATGACTTAGTGATAGTTCATGATGGAACAAAAGGTCTTCTAAAATTTCCTCTCCAAATTGTGGGTTATACTTGTTTATGCTATTTCTGGTAATATATAAATATACTTAGGTAGTGATAGACTTGTAAGCTTTGCTTTTCATTGCTGAATTAACTGTATGTTACAAAAGCCTTCAAAAAAGCATGTCATGCTCTCAAGTTCTGTAAATATCAGGTCTAAAACCAATGTGAATCACTTACATTAGCCGCTGTGTTTTGAGACTGACATCTTGAGAGAGTTCAATATCTTTGAGTATATCCATGAAACTGTTTTTAAAGTGTACAGTGGACCCCCGCTTAACGATCACCTCCAAATGTGACCAATTATGTAAGTGCGTTTGTACGTGTATGTTTGGGGGTCTGAAATGGACTAATCTACTTCACAATATTCCTTATGGGAAAAAATTCGGTCAGTACTGGCACCTGAACATACTACTGGAATGAAAAAAGTTCGTTAACCGGGGGTCCACTGTATTTTGTTTTTTCAATTATTTTAGTTGTTACTTTTTTCTTAAAAGACATGCCAGAGAATTATACATCAGTAGAGCATGTATTCTAAGATAGTTTCTGCATATTTTCAATGGTTCATGAGTATGTAAAAATCTAACAAGTTCAAATTTGATAAATGGTTTTTTTTTTTTTAATAAACCGGCCATATCCCACCAAGACAGGGTGACCCCAAAAGAAAAGTGAAAGTTGTATGGTATGTATTTATGCAAATTCCATAATATTTAGAACAGTTTACCTTATTTCTAGGCAAAACATATACATATGTAGTACTATGGTATATTTACACAAATGGAAAATTTATTAGTACATTTGACATGATCTGGCTTTCTTCAAACAATTTTGAGCAGAATTCATGTATGGAGTAACAGTGCCACTTGAATTGTTGTTACACTCTTTGGGAAGAACTAAACCTGTAAGGGTCTTAGTTTCATTTGGAGCTCATTTTGCATTCCTGTTCATTTACTATACATTTTTTTGTAATATCCTGACATTTGATTTACCTTACAGATAACTACTTCAAGTCTGCTCAGGTACTTATGAACAACCTATTTGGTAAAGCAATGTCCTGATGCTGCTCCTGTGTAGAAAATACACCAAATAAAAATTTCATTACCAGGCGAGGAGATTAGGGAGATGTAAAAGTTCTTCAAAGTAACATTTCATTAAGTCTACTTTGTAGATTTTGCAATTAGTGACAGGATATTTTGCCTCACAGATGCAACAGACTAACGGTTTATTTTATGGATTTTTGACATATGCAATCACTGGAGCAAATCTCTCTAGTATAAAGCAGGGATTTGTCTTTGTATGTAATATCCATTGGCAGTACCTGGTTAACAAAAGTGTTGCACTCCTGAATAAACTTTCATTAATCTTCATTCGGTGAAACCTATTTTCTTATGAACTTTTATAATGCTTTCCAGCCAAAAAAAAAAAAAAAGTTTGCAGTGTTACCAAGGTGTATTAAGAATGTTGGCTGTATTTGACCCATGAGGAGTACATTTTTCTGCCTTGAAGCTGCCTCAGAGATAAGGAGTTATGACCACTATCGGAGTAACCCCAGATACCAAAGTCTCTTGTTTGAGATGATTATTAATGTATTTAGGAGCAGGGGGTAAAGCCACTGTCAGGGAATGGGAGTTGCTCAGACTTGATCCAAGGGAAGGACAAGTCCAATTTCTTGAATCGGGTATTCCTCACCAGCATCAAGGAATGCTCCTTGAGGGTAAGAGATAAATTCATTGAGGGTTGCCTTTTAGACTAATAATTATTTTGTGAAAAATTAAGCACCAAACCCTTACAAGTCATATAGTTTGTGTAGGTAGAGTGCAGGGAGATAAGAGTTGATGCAATAAGTTAGTTTAGTCCAAAAGATCTGCTATTAAAAATACCAGAGTGAAAGCATACGTGTGTCAAAAGAGTGAATGAAAATTAATTCCGTGGGCCCTTTGATAGAGGGGATAGTCAACTAGATGATGAACTATCAATGATACATGACAAGTCTCAGATGGGTGCTAGGTTTTTTGTTCATGAGACAGCAATGTGCTAGGCATATGTGGCAAATGGGTAAGTATGCCAGAATCATTTCCTATCAACAGCAGTGGTAAAAGGTTGACCAAACTCCTGATGGTGGTTTTATAATAAATAGTTTGTTGGTCCTTAGTGTAGACCAGCAACCTTACCAACAATCTCATATACTTTTATTTTAATCAGCTAGAAACGCTAAACTAATAAGAGTCACATAGCATCTGGGGAATGGTAGGTTCAGTCCACAGTAAGGGATGATAAGGCCATTTTCTTGGATCAAGAGCCTCTTACTAGCATCGTGGCACCTTCCTGAAAAAAGAATGACTTGAGATAAGATGGGAAAATAGTCACAAGAGGGCAAATTCCTATGTGATATTCACATATTCTGTACTGAAGAGCAAACAGGAGTCTGTTAGTTCATTGCCCTGTACACTGATATGTCCGAGGTCGTCTCCGGTAAAACTTCCAGAAGTGAAAATGTGTAGGGGTCCCTACGCAGTTATTGCCCTTGCTACTAAGAAAATACTCAGGACCCTTATAGGTAGATATGAGTCACAAGGAGGGGGACCCTTAGTTATCTGTTTTACCTTCATAATTACCACAAATTTTCTGATTACAAATTTTATTCACATGCAAAACTTTGCTTCAATTAATATGTGAGAATCACATCACAGAATGGTAATTTGCTAATTTTTTTATTAGTTTTGTCTGCTATATAAGATGCTTCATCATGTTGTCAAGGGAAAAATAATGACCACAGAAGGGAGGAAGGTCACCACAAGGCAACACTTTAACGATTAAAGAGATAGTACAGTGGACCCCCGGTTTACGATATTATTTCATTCCAGAAGTATGTTCAGGTGCCAGTACTGAACGAATTTGTTCCCATAAGGAATATTGTGAAGCAAATTAGTCCATTTCAGACCTCCAAACATACACGTACAAACGCACTTATATAAATACACTTACATAATTGGTCGCATTGGGAGCTGATCGTAAAGCGGGGGTCCACTGTATAAGCTTACAAACCTGACCTCAGGAAGTATAATGTTGATATGGAACAGACTTGAGGGCTCCAGACTGCAGACTAATAAACTGAGGTATTGGAATAGATATGACTTGTTTAGTGATTCCCCCTGTGAATGTAAAGATAATGGAACAGACACGAGGGATCTAGACTTAAGACTGCTTAATTGAGGTACACCTACCATCCAACTTACGACCGAATTCGGTTCCGAGACACCGGTCGTAAGTCGAAATGGTTGTAAGTCGAACTTTACTATTGAATATCAACAAAACATTTTTGTAATGACTTTATTTTATTGTTTTATTTTGGTATTTCATGTTTTACTTTACTTTTTATGTTGTTAGTACTGTATTTTATACTGTAAGGTTTAGGATAAACACTGTGTACAACACAAATAGTTATTTATTTCCCAGAAATTTGGCATAAAAAACACGGTCGTAAGTCGAGTGGTCGTAAGTCGAGCAGGTCGTAAGTCGGATGGTAGGTGTATTATGGCAAGAGGAATGCTTATGGTATTAGATGAAAAATGATAAGTACCATGAATATATATGACAAAGTAAATGTTGGATTATAATGAAACCTCAAGATAATGGAGTTTGTGGAGTCAGATTTTAAGAAATATATTAAAGATGGCTTGGATATAGGAAGAGAGTGATTTTTAGGATCGTAATGTTTATGGAACTTAGTTATAAACTAAGGGTTGAGAAGGAGATCAGTACAAAAACCAAAATATGTATCATTTATTTAAACTACCTGGATGGACAAAATGAAGTACACAAGGAAAAGGTCTCTTTCAGGGACAAGATTAGAAAAGATTAGACACATAGGGCAGCCTGGATGAATGTCTCCCAAAATTGAAATTACCATTAGTGAACAGTATCTAAAATTATAAAGTCATACCTAGAGTAACTGAAGATAAATGATGAAAGAAAATGACTTCAGTTTTGTTGAGCTGAAATCTGAACCTAGTGAATCTTAACATCCACAGTTACTTGATGCATCTTTGTACATCAATGTTTTATGTCTTATTTGATGTATTATGTCTAATTCTTAAGTATAAGCATAGGCATCATGTTCTTGGGTTGTCTGTCTATCCATCTGTTGATACAGCAACACTAATGGAAGTACACATATACATAACAGTGTCCCATCTAATTTGTAATTGGTTGTAGTATAATATTTATCTATAGGAACTAAAAGTTTTCAAGAATCTACTAGTAAATAACCTACTAAGAAGATGGTTTGAGTGTATATTTTTGTAGTTATTCTCCAAAAATATATAAAAATCAAACTTGCCTAAAAATATAGGAGAAAAGTATTATTAAACAATTACACTGCACAACCTCTGCCAGGTAGGCAGAAATTGCCTTTCAAAGAGTCATTCCAAAAGTTACCATAGCCACAGTCAAACAAATTTGGCACTGTAAATACTGTAGTCTTGAGATACATATTGCGATACTAATTGATCATATACAATATAAACAGCTTGGATGGCAGTGAACAAGTTGGCCAAGGTGCGCGACGTAAAGTACGTGACTCCACCACTATGGTCTCGGCAGAAGTCAACACCACCAGTGACTCTCAGAAGTGTTTATGAGATGCTGATAAGCATGAAATTATTGTTTGCAAACAGCACAGAAATTACAATTCATTGTAAGTGGTTCTCATACATTTTTAATACAGTACAGTGTAAATTTAAAAGCCATTAAGTTTTAGCTTTCAAATTTATAACTTAGAACATCAATACAGTTACTCCATTTAAGACACCTTTGTACATTAATACACCCACAAATGAAAAGAACCTGTTTCCCTTAAAATATACAAACCAATATGTGTACAATTATGTGTAAACTGTGTGCTTGATTTGGAAGTGTACGAGTATGGATACTTGCTAGTGCATGTTTGTAGTCATGTAGCATGTCAGTAATTATCTATTTGTAGTTAAAGGAGCAATGCCATGCTTGTGATATCATAACTTCAGTGTTTAGTATGTCACACAATGGAAGTTCCTCATCTTACACACATCCACACTTACAAAAGGGAAATCTAGGAACCATTTAACATTTTACTGCTGCTGAAGCGCAGTGGAAATGCATGAAACATAATCATCCTTTGAAATATTGTTTGTCGCATAAACATCTCGTTTGTAAATTGAAAAACCAGGAATGTAGCTCATTTGTAAGTTGAAACCTATATTTTTCAAAGTTACCACTGGTTATAGCATACTATAATACCATATCTCCTATACCTCATAAGTCCAGCAGTCTTATCGCTACTTACAAAAAAATAATTCTAGTTCCTACTGTATATCCTTCATGACCCAGCTTGCTCAATTTGCAACTGGGACTTCTTGTCTCTGTTGATGGTGCTAAGAAATCTATGTATGTACAATACAGTAGGACTCCCTCCCCCGTATCTGCAGGGGATAAGTTCCAAGATAAATAACAGAAAAAGACACAATATCGTGACTGGAACAAAACACAAATAACCCACACATAGAACAGAGGAGCTTATGATGATATTTCGGTCCAAATTGGACCATTTACAGAGTCACACTAACAAAAAGGAGAGCAAGATGGGTATTGCTATGAGCTCTCCTCTCTCTCCTGTCCTTGCTAATCTTTACATGGAATACTTCGAGACTGTTCTTCTTCCTACTATCGATGTGCGCTCTTCACTCTGGCTCCGCTATGTTGATGACATCTTTGAATAACAGTGTAACTTTGTCAATGGTCCAAGTCGGACCGAAACGTCGTCGTAAGCTTCTCTCTTTTATGTGCGGGTTATTTGTGTATGGCATCTTTGCTCTGTGGCCTCATGACTTGTCTCTTCCAACCATTTCTTGATGCTCTTAATAATCTTGCCCCTTCCATTAAGTTTAAAGCTGAATGGGAATCTAACTCCTTGCTTCCTTTTCTTGATGTTCATGTCCACCGCTCAGATACAGGTTTTACCTTTTCCGTTTACCGCAAGCCTATGCACAGTGGCATGTACATTCACTACTTTTCTTATCATGCTTCCTCTGTCAAGAAGTGTTCTTATCTCCCTCTTTCTCCGTACTCTCCGCATATGTGATCCTCAGTTCTTTCAATCCAAAATTCCCACTCTTCATAATTCATTTTCCCGTCTTGGCTACCTTTCCCATTTCATTGACTCTGCTTTCTCTTCTCACGTGCTAAACGGACTTTCTTCTCTCCCAAACTCTCTACTCCTGGGAACTCTTCTGTCCTCTGCCTTCCCTACATTTCCAGTCTTTCTAATCTCAACAACTCTCTCCGTTCCTTAGACATCAAACTTACTTTCCGCCAGACTAACACTCTTCACACTAATCTTGTTCATACCTCTCCTCCCTCTACAGATGCTCCTGGCGTCTACTCTATTTCTTGTTCCTCCTGTCCTCTTCAATACATTGGAGAAACTGGTCGATCTCTTTCTGACAGACTTAGGGAACACAAAAATAGTGTTAGGCTTGCCAACACTAACAATGCTCTTTTCTGTCACGTCAGAGATCACAACCATCTTATTGGCTGGTCTTCTGCTAAAACTGTCTTCCCTACTTCCAACTTTAACAGTCACCGTCTGGTTGAATCCTCCCTAATACACAACTTTCCTTGTATGAATCTTAGCCCTGGCTTCATCTCTGTAGATACCTTCCTCTCCCACTACATTGTAAAATGCTCCAAACTTCAGAACACTAGTGGCCTAACCTGATTCCTCCTTTTTTCTTCCCCCTCTTTCTCTTTTGGGTCGTCTTTTTTCTGCCCTGTGTATTTGTTCCGTCTTTATTTGTTTTTCACCCCCCCTCATTGTTCTTGCTCTTACCCTCTGTGGGCACCTAGCTCCCTTGCAGTGCTCCTCTTTCTTAGTATTTGACTGGCCCCTCCTACTCTTACTACCTCCCCACTATTACTACCTTCCCTCCACTACTACTACCTTCCCTCCACTACTACTACCTTCCCTCCACTACTACTACCTTCCCTCCACTACTACCACTACTACTACCACCTCCTGCCTATATACAGTGGACCCCCGGTTAACGATATTTTTTCACTCCATAAGTATGTTCAGGTGCCAGTACTGACCGAATTTATTCCCATAAGGAATATTGTGAAGTAGATTAGTCCATTTCAGACCCCCAAACATACACGTACAAACGCACTTACATAAATACACTTACATAATTGGTCGCATTCAGAGGTAATCGTTATGCGGGGGTCCACTGTATACCCATCCTGCTCTCCTTTTCATTAGTGTGACTTTGTAAATGGTCCAAGTCGGACCGAAACGTCGTCGTAAGCTCCTCTCTTCTATGTGCGAGTTATTTGTGTTTAAGTTCCAAGAACCTCCCGTGGATACTGAAACTGAGGATAGTAGCAAACCCTATACATAAGTCCTATACATACCAATTATAAAGTTTAATTGATAAAATATGCACAGTAAGTGGAGAATTATCACTTTTTTACTGATGGGAAGGACCTAACAACTTTTCTTAGGCTTTGAAGAACCACCAGCTTCTCTACTTTTGCGCTTTGGGCCCATTGTTATGTAAAATTAAGAGGTATTTTGGGGCCACAGTAAATTGTGGATAACTGATGCCGCGGATAGCGAGTCATTGGGTACAGGGGTTCTACTGTATATCTGTATCCTCCTATCTGTTTATGTTATGAGGTGCATGGTTGTTTTCTATCAGGCAAAGGTATTTAGTGTTTTCGATCATTGTACCTCATATTTCTTAGCTGTTGAAGCCATTTTGTAGCAAGTCTTTGAACTTTTTCTATCAACTGTATATAGTTTTTGGGTATGGAGACGACACTTTCACACTTCATTTATGCTTGTGTATATTAGCATGAATTGAGACTAGAAATTGTACATTTGTGTGTATGATAGATTCATAAGGTTAAAACAATTAAGTTGAAAAGAGTGAAACATGACCCTCCTACAACCTAGTCTTAAAATTAACTATACAGGACGGCCCCACATATTTGGCACCCTCTTTTTGGTGTTCTACATTTTCGTTGGCTTTAAGTTGAGTCACTGTTCATTATGTTCAATGCTTTTACGGCTTCTCCGTCATTTTCACAGAACAGTTGCATAAGGGAATGGTGGCCGGCGCCATATTTTAAGGCAAGTATTGTATGCACTATGTATTTGTTTAACTTAAGTATCTTTTTTTTATGCCTAGCTGTATTGAACATTTAATATATGATAATCTAAAAACGTTATCAGTCAGTTTAGACACCAACAGTTTTTGCTTATCGCACGGGGTGGGGAACCCAAGAGCCATACAAATGTGGCCCTCCTGTATACACCATAATAAATCAGTTAAAATCAGAACTGTTAGCTTAAAATTAGGCACAGCATATATGATGTATCAGTAAATGATGGGAAAAGTACTGTATTTGTGGAAATTCTTCATGCAAAGACTTCTATGAACATCCTAGGCATAAACCATACCACAGGTGGGGTTAGAACCCGTGATCAGATCGCAGGTTCTAATCCCACCTGTGGTATGGTTTGTTTGTAATTGTGTCATTACGATTTCATGAGTCATCCTAGGCATAATATTTAGCTTTATATTTGTGCATCACTAACTTTTTAGCAGTGCCAAGATTATTTTCAGTCCACACAGAAAGACAGTGCTTTTATCTTCATTGCAAATAATTTCTAAAAGGGATGCTTTAATGATGGTGAAAGTCTCTAGATCCATGAAATTGGAGCTCTCTCCTTCCTCAATTCAAACTTGATTACTCTTCACCTTTATGGATTTAGTACTTTCTAAGAATAATTTATATATTTATTGCTAAGTTATTTTTATGAATAATAGACACAAATAGCAGTACTAATTGGAAACTTTGTTAAGAAAATATTTAGCCTGGACAGTAAAGCTTATTATTCAAATATGATCACACTTTTTCAACTTTGACCGGACTTGAAAAAGCCTGATGCTCAAGCAAAAAAAAATCTATTACTGCTATTGTGTCTTTATCACTACAACTCGTCGATATTCCCATACCGTCTACTATTGCAAAACTATCTTTGTGTACATTATTTTTTCATAGAGGAGTATGTGTGGATGGCTGAAAAATGAAGTAACAGTGGACATAATAAAAAGTATAATATACAACATGTATATCAGAAAAGCAGAATTTTTCAGTGATGTAGAAGTAGTGTGAGAGAATGTGTGGATGCCTCTGAATTGAGCTTCACAAGGTGTAAGGCTAACTGTATGGCATTATTACAGGGAAGAAAAAGCATATTCAATTTTAGTGGTCACTTTGGGAAGTATAATGCACCTTGGTACAATCAGCAAATAATTTGTTTGAAATATAAAATATGTTAGCTAATAATAAGAACAGGTAGGAGTATTCCAATAATTTTACAATGGAATGGTGCTTGAGGTGCAGACTCAAAACATGTAATAAAAAAAAAATTGTTCATTGGGTATACCATATACATGTACTTTTCTTGGGCTACAGTTCTTGCAAATCTTAATATTAACAATATTAGAGCCATATTTAAGTAAATGTGACTTCGTGAAGTCATGCTGGCTATTAGAAATTTCCTTTTTTTTTTTTTTTTTTTACTCAAAAACTGGTTAAAGAATCAGTATGAATTTATTTGGCCTTAATAAGCTAATACAGTGGACCCCTGCTTTACGATCACCTCCCAATGCGACCAATTATGTAAGTGGATTTATGTAAGTGCATTTGTACGTGTATGTTTGGGGGGTCTGAAATGGACTAATCTAATTCACAATATTCCTTATGGGAACAAATTTGTCCAGTACTGGCACCTGAACATACTTCTGGAATGAAATAATATCGTAAACCGGGGGTCCACTGTACAGTGGACTCCCGAGTTTCGGCAGCTTCGACTTTCGTGACATTCAACCTTCGGCGAGTTTTCTTGGAAAAATTTGGCCTCGAGTTTCTTGAAAAAACTCGTGTTTCGGCGACCGTCCAGTACCCGTCCGCCCGTCACCGCGCACACAAAGCCAGTCTCCCATGCCATTCACGCTCAGTGTGCCATTGTTTACCAACATGTGACCATCACCCCGTGGGTTCATACAATACATTTCATAATAATCCATTGTTTTTTGTGCTTGCAACTGCTAAATAAGTCATCATGGACCCAAGGAAAGCTAGTGCAAGCCCTTTGGTAAATAAAGCGAGTGACGGGGATGTGGAAGAGTTGGTGGAGGACCACAGGGAAGAGCTAACCACTGATGAACTGCAAGAGCTTCAACTGGAACAGCATCAGACCACAGCCAAGGAACTTGCTTCAGAGGAGGAGGAGGAAGAGGGAGTGGATGAGGTGCCTTCTTCAGTGATTAAGGACATGTGTGGAATGAGTTGCAAAGTTTTGTTGAAAAGTATCACCCTGACCAAGCTGAAACAAGCCATATCTGCAACATGTACAATGACAGTGTTGTGTCCCACTTCAGGGAAATCTTAAAGAAATGCCAAAAAAAGACCTCTGGATAGATATTTTGTGTGCCAGGGGTCCAGTGACTCTCAAGGTGTTCCCAGTGGCATTAAAAGAAGAAGGGAAGTAACCCCAGATAAGGACTTGCTACCTAAAGTCCTAATGGAAGGAGATTCTCCTTCCAAACAATAGTGTACACCTTCCTCCTATCACCTCCTCCCATCTTCCATCCACCCAGAAGTCTTCAGTAAAGGTAAGTGTAATGTTATTATTATTTATTTTAAATGCATGTACTTGATTTCTGATTGTTTTCATTATGTAAATCTTTATTTAATTTTAAAAAAATATTTTATTTTAATATTTTTGGGTGTCTGCAATGGATTAATTTTATTTCCATTATTTCTTATGGGGAAAATGGTTTTGAGTTTCGTGAATTTCAACCTTCGGCAGGCTCTCTGGAATGGATTAATCACGAAACTCGGGGGTCCACTGTACTTTGTACAGCTTTCATAGTAATTTCAAAATTGGTTTAGATGCAGATTTCTTAAAGGTAAATTTACAGTTGATCAGTTCTTTGAATATACCAGTTATTTGTGACTTTTGCTTTTCAAGTGATGGTTTTAAAGTTAATAATACACCATAAGGTTTTGGCATACAGTTTGTGATGTCTTGTTCGTTCCTGATGAGACTACTGGATACTGCACATTTTTGCACTATGTAGTTATGTAAGGTGACTTGTTTTTATATATGATGAATGACCTTACTGGTACTGTATATAATTTGCACGAGTTTGCTTGACCTGACAAATTTGTTGACATGGCACATTTTCTTATTTAAAGTTTTGCAGTGACATAAGGAAAATTGTATCAAGCTTTTTTTTTTTTTTTAAAGATCTTGGTAATGTTATTGACAATAAGCAAAGTTTCTAGTTTATAATGAATATGTTTACATCACAAAATGAAATTTGAGCATTTTCTCTTTTAAAGTGCAGGTACAGTAATATTTGTAGATTTGTTAATTTTTACTTCATGTGTTATTCATAATGTATTTATATTGTAATTATAAGTATTTTTAATTAAAAAATGTTGATAAAATGTCTTTGTATATACTGTACTGTATGCTGAAGGTAATTTCATAGTTTTTAGATTAGAAAATTTTCAGTTTGGACGATATGTTGGTTTACTGTTGAAAGATTGTTGTGCTGGACATTTTATTTCAGGGTCCCCACCCCTACCCCAGTCTGCTTTATAGAATTATATTAGGTCTGCTTCAGTTATTAGGATGGCCTAGCCCTAAACCATGACCATTCATTCTTGGTTATACAGTGGAACCCTGGTTTTCGTCCTTAATCCGTTCCAGAAGGTTGGTCAAAATTCGAAATGGACGAAAACTGAAATAATATTTCCCATAAAAAATAATGTAAATCCAATTGATCCATTCCAGACACCCAAAAATATTATCAAAAAAAGCATTTTATAGAGAATAACTATAGTTTTACATACAGAAAAAATGAGGAATAAATATAAAGCACTAATGAAATGGATAAATGAACATTTAAATCACTTTTACCTTTTTTGGAGACTTGTTGGTGTTTGGAAGATGGTGAGGAGGGGAGAGGGAGGAGAGGTTATCTCTACTACCATCACTACCACCCTTTACCACCATCACTACAGGTCGGCCATCATTAATCCGGCGTCATTGGGACCTGTAGTGTGCTGGATTAGTGAGTTTGCTGGATTACAGAGTGGTTAGGTTAGAATACACTTAATTAACCTATCAATAGAGACTTTCTGCTACATCTTCCTCATTTTCATCACTGCTTTCTCCTCCACTGGCTTGCTGCTGTGGATTTACAACTATCTGCACACTTTATGAGTTAGTATAATGATGAAATTTGAGTCAGTATAATGATGAAATTTGAGTCAGTATAATGATGAAATTATGCTAGCCAAAATTAATGCCGGATTACTGATGGAACCAGATAACTGATTGCCAGATTAGTAATGGCCGACCTGTACCACCCTCTACCACCATCACTACCAACACCACAACTACTACCACCCAATACCACCATCACAACCACCCTCTACCACCATCACAACCACTACCACCCTCTACTGCCATTGAATTCTATAGTGTTTCTTGCCTTCTTTATCAAAGGGCTGGTGCTCGGAACTTTATTTGGCCCCATGGTGGCTTATTTAACAGTCGCACTCAATAAACAAGTACAAAAAACAATGGATTATTATGAAATGTTTCGCATGAACGCGCAGGGTAATGGTCACTTGAGAAACAAAGCCAGACTGACTCAGAATGTGTGCGTGGGATGCTTTGTGTGGGTGCGGGCAGACGGACGTGTTCATTACAGCGGACGAAAACCGAGGTGGTGAATGAAAACCAGGACAATATTTTGACGACAAAAGTCATTGAAAATGGAATTCGACGAAAACCAGGGCAAACGAAACCTGAGGTTCCACTGTATACAGTACACACATTACTTACCTTAAAATATTTTCATACTTAGTTTATAGTGAGTGGTGAATATTCATTGTAGGAAGTCTGAATAAATGAAGAATGGGTATAATTGTAAAAAGCTGTATTAGCGAAACGCTGTAAAGCGGGGCCTGCCTGTATATCAGTTTATTGCCCACGATTATGTAAAACAGTTCAAAAGGCCAACATGTGTGCCAAGCATCATTTTCTCAAATGAACCTACATTCCTGGAGACACAGTAGGGCCATATATGGCAGGAAGTCAGCAGATCATGGCCCACATAATACCACCTTTGTGTTTAATTCTTTTATGACATCAGCCATCTCCCACTAAGGTAGGGAGATACAAAGAGCAACACATTCCCCATTGTTCATTCAATAACTGTCATGCCAGTGTGTAGACATTACACTTCAAATGGCCCTCCGAACTGCAACATCCTCACCTATCTTTCAGAGTGCAGGCACTTAAAAAAAAAGGGAAACACATTTACTATTATTAATTTAATACTATCTTTCCAGAGTGTGCTAACATCACACTTCAGATGACTCTCCAAGCTGGAACTAGGTTTAGCACTTCTTTTTGATTATAATAGTAATCCAAACTGTAATATCCCCACCCCTCCTTTAGAGTGCATTTATTGTACTTTCCCTTTCCAGGTCTCGAGTCCAGCTAACCAGTTTTCCTGAATTCCCTCATAAATGTGGTCTTGCTCACATTGCAACACTGTCAAGCCATAGAAACCACCTGCTTTTACTCACTTCAATCTAACATACATAAGCCTGTTGGATGTCCAAGCCCCCTAACATTCAAAACCTCCTACATTTCTTTCCCTAAACCCCTGAGTTTCCAAAGTTTTGCCAAAATATCCACCACTGATTTATATACTTAGTCGTCCTATTCTGCTTCAGCCTCTAAATGCCCCAAACTGCCTCAACAGTCCCTCCTCAGCCCTCTGAATTATACAATACAATATTTTAGATACATCAAAAAATAAAAGGATTCCAGTAATGAAATAGTTTAGTACACTTTTTTTTTATTGCGGTCTGTACAGAGAAATGGTAAATTTATTATGCTTTCTGTTTCCTTAAAATTTATGCAGTATGCAATTCTGAACAGTGTATTAATTTTAGCCACTGCTGTACATTATTGAGTGGAAACTGCAATCTTCACAAATGGAAATATAATAAATAAGCAAGAAAATTTCACGATCTTACAGACTGGCAAATAAGTTCAAATCTATACATAGCTATGAAAAAAGTTTTAGTAACCATGAATTTCTCTAAAATTACAGGATAACACAAAAGTCTTGCATAATTTAATGCAATAAAATGGAGTTATTAGGGCCAGATTACTCCTAATGTACTCTGCTCGACAGCAAATTTCCAGTTGAAGAGGGCTGAGCAGATACAGACCTGATATATGTTAAACATTTACCAATTTTTAAAATATGACCTTACTATATCAATGAGTCAAAATTTAGGATAACTGACAAAAATTTTTAATTATTTTCACATGGTTATATAGTGACAGATCATTTGCTGAACATGTACAGTAAATACTCTATACAACCACTGATTCTCCATTGAAGTATAGTAGCTGACAAGACCTCTTATAAACATCCACAAATTTTGTCTCGTGATGCTTTGTGCATTACAGCATCTGGCATGGATTATAATCTTACATGTTGTCATATTTGTCATTCTTATGTATAGAAATAAGTTACATTTTAAAAAATGTAAAGAAAAAAAAAAGAGATATTAAGCATGTACTGATACAGATAATGTTACCACTACATAAAAATATTCATAAGAAAAATGGTAGACAAGTTGCTGCTACTTACTCTTAAGGTGCTTCAACTGCTTAGGTTATCAGCGCCTATGCAAGTTGATTGATGCATCTTGCAATGATTTAAATTACATATAATAGCAGCAAATCAGTTATAGCACATGGAATATGGCCGGTTTGTTGAAAGAAGAAGAAAAGATATATATATATATATACAGTAGAACCTCTACTTATGAGCGCCTCCATGTGCAAGTTTTTCCAGATACGAGCAGTCACTCGGTTGAATTTTTGCTTCCAGATGCGAGCAAAATTTCCAGATACGAGTGGGCCTCAAGGGAGGTTCCTTGACGCTGGTGAGGGGCTCTTTCTCTTGATCTAGGGAATTGGATCTCATTTGTTTGTTGGACTATCTTATTGAAACTTGGGCAATGTATAACGAAAAAATGCTTCTTAACATACACTTAAATTGAAAGAAATTGGACGATAAATAACAGAGTTCATTTCTAAGCCATTAGCTGCCCCTTAGTGGAATATTTTTTGTATGATTTTTATGGTTGTATTCTCATTTTTTTGGTCTCATTTGATAGAATGGAAGATATATTACAGAAATAGATATGATTTTGATTGGTTTCATGATGAAAAGTACCTTGAAATTGAGCTCAAAGTAGCAGAAATATTAAATTTTTGCCAATGTTCAAGAGGAAACAATACCTGTCCGAGTGGCCATTCCAATACGCAGTCATGAATGGGTTGACATTATTTATACAATTATTACAATAATGCAGTAGTCTGCATAACAGTAAATCTATTTTTTGTGTGAATAAAGATTCCAAATGTTAAGCAAGAGCATTATTATAAGAATACGTACGTACTAATGATAATTATAATACTATGAGTTTCAGATTGCCACCACGAGATGGCGTGGTGGCGGTCAAAACAATGCTCGGTCCACATGTGTTTAACTTGCAGCAGAGGGAAATTCTCATATCTTCCTTACATGTGCAGTTATTTTGCAAAATTTCTTGTTTCTAACCATGGGTCCTAAGAAAGCAAGTGCAAAGGACAGTGCTGAGAAGAAAAAGAGGATGATTTCCATTGAATTAAAGCTGTGAACAGTGAAGTAATAAAGTGTAGCATTATTATTATTTTTTCCTTAAGAAACTACGATGTTATCTAATGCAGTTTGCCTTACAAACACACTGTTTTCTGTTATAATAAAAGCATGGGAAGGTAGTCAAGAGCAGGAATGGCTGCTGTGGTTCCACTACCACTACTCGCATACGTAATATTTCGTTCATTCTAGTGTACGTATATACGTATCGTGTTTCTATGTTATTAATATTGTTTATTATGTCGTATTAGATGAATTGTGATGGATAAATAAGCTGTAGAGTTATTGGAAAATTATTGAAGTATTTTGTCGTGCCTCCTGAGAGCCGGAACGAATTAATTTCATTTCAATTAATTTAAATGAGGAAAATTGACTCTGTAGACGAGCAAATCCAGATGCGAGCAAGGTCACGGAACGGATTAAACTCGTAAGTACAGGTTCCACTGTATACATGTATATACAGTGGACCCCCCCTTATGAACGCATCACGTTACGTTAAATCCGCCATACAAAGCATTTGAACGCAAAAATTTTGCCTCGCCTCACGATAAAAAACTCGCCTTACGTGATTCGTCCGGGACGCGTCCCATGTGTGGCTTCAGCGCCAGTGTTTACAAGCCAGCCAGTGCGGTTGCATCTACGCATGCATTCGGTACATTTCACATTATCCCAGTGTTTTTAGTGTTTGTAACTGCAAAATAAGTCACCATGGACCCCAAGAAAGCTTCTAATGCCATCCCTGTGGTAAAAAGGGCGAGAATTAGTATGGAATTGAAAAAAGAGATTAAGGAAATGTGTGCAAAGTGGGTTGAACTGCAAACCTTTACAGATGAAAATCACCCTGACACAGCTACTGCAAGCTGTGTTGGCAACCTGTACAATGACAATGTTATGGCCCATGTTAGGAAAGTCTTAAAGGAATAGGAAGTACAGAGCTCTATGGACAGATTTGTTGTGCGACAGAGGTGCAGTGACTCTCAAGCTGGTCCTAGTGGTATTAAAAGAAGGGAAGTAACCCCAGAAAAGGACTTACTACCTCAAGTCCTAATGGAAGGGGATTCCCCTTCTAAACAATAACTTCCACACACTCCCCCTCCTCCCATCTCATCAATCATCACCAGATCTTCAATAAAGGTAAGTGTCATGTATTCTATTCTTAGTAAAGTAGTAATTGTGCATGTCTGCTTCAGTTTGTGTGTATTAAAATTAATATTTCATGTGGTAAAAAAAAAAATTTTCATACTTTGGGGTGTCAGGAACGGATTAATTTGATTTCCATTATTTCTCATGGGGAAAATTAATTCAGCTTACGATGAGCTCTCAGGAACGGATTAATATCATAAGGCGGGGGTCCACTGTATACGTGTATATATATATATATATATATATATATATATTATATATATTATATATATATATATATATATATACAGGGGACCCCCTGAGTTTTGTGAGCCTTGTGCTTCGTGAATTTCGACTTTTGGTAACTCTTTTCATCAAAATAAAGCCTTGTGGTTTGTGATTTGCCTCACGATTCGTCCATCATACGAAACACGTCCGTGTAGCCAGGAGCAGAGGCTGGGCGTACACAAAGGCTCCCACACAACATTCAGGAGTCAGTGTGGCATTGTGGATGAGTAACCATTTTAGAGCCAGGAACGTCTGCATTGTTCATTCTGGACCCTATTTTGAAATTGGCATACTTTTTAATTTGCGTGAAATTGGCCAAATTGCAAATTTCTGACCACGTTATTGGGTAGTTGAAATTGGTAAATGGGCAGTTTCTTGTACTCAATCGATAGAACAAATGGAGTTCTAAAGAAATACCTGTGAGTTTGGTCGACTGGAACAATGGAATTAGCCAAAAATAGGGCTCAAAGTGAGGGAAATCGCTGATTCGTAAATATCGCTGAGGTCGCTAACTTCGCGAGAGCGTAATTCCATAAGTTTTCCATCAAATTTCATTCTTTTGGTGTCATTACAGTGTACATGCTTTACAGGCTATATGAAAATTTGATACACCTCATCCCCTAGTTCTCCATATCCAACTTTGGTTACGCCATATCTCTACCAAACAAAGATATTGTTTTTTGTTGGGTCCCTGGTCATGTTGACATACAGGGCAATGAAGAGGCAGATACTGCTGCACGGTCAGCAGTACATGACCTTCCAGTTTCACATAGAGGTGTTCCATTCACGGACTATTTTGCTGTAATTGCTACCCACCTTCACACCCGTTGGCAACGTTGGTCTGATCTGCTCAACAACAGATTTCATCCTATTAACCCTTTCAGGGTTTCGGCCGTACTAGTACGGCTTACGTGCCAGGGTCCTTGACGTACTAGTACTCATAAATTCTAGCGCCTTCAAATCTAGTGAGAGAAAGCTGGTAGGCCTACATATGAAAGAATGTGCCTATGTGGTCAGTGTGTGCAGTATAAAAATCCTGGAGCACACAGTGCTTAATTAAAAAAAAAAAGACCATGTTTTTAGATTAAAACAGCGACTTTGCATTATATTTTCGTATGGTTTTTATTGTTGTATTCTTGTTTTCCTGGTCTCATTTGATAGAATGGAAGACATATTACAGAAATTGAGATGATTTTGACTGGTTTTACAATGAAAAGTACCTCGAAATTGAGCTCAAAGTAGCAGAAATGTTCGATTTTTACCAAATTTCAAAAGTAAACAAATCATGCTAAGCAACCAATACACATCAACTGGCGAGTCTA